GTTAGTTGGACCACACTGATGAAGCAACTGTTAGTGTACCAGTGTTAGCTGGACCACACTGATGAAGCAACTGTTAGTGTACCAGTGTTAGCTGGACCACACTGATGAAGCAACTGTTAGTGTACCAGTGTTAGTTGGACCACACTGATGAAGCAACTGTTAGTGTACCAGTGTTAGCTGGACCACACTGATGAAGCAACTGTTAGTGTACCAGTGTTAGCTGGACCACACTGATGAAGCAACTGTTAGTGTACCAGTGTTAGTTGGACCACACTGATAAAGCAACTGTTAGTGTACCAGTGTTAGCTGGACCACACTGATGAAGCAACTGTTAGTGTACCAGTATTAGTTGGACCACACTGATGAAGCAACTGTTAGTGTACCAGTGTTAGCAGGACCACACTGATGAAGCAACTGTTAGTGTACCAGTGTTAGCTGGACCACACTGATGAAGCAACTGTTAGTGTACCAGTGTTAGCTGGACCACACTGATGAAGCAACTGTTAGTGTACCAGTGTTAGCTGGACCACACTGAAGAAAATGTTAGTGTACCAGTGTTAGCTGGACCACACTATAAGCAATGTTAGTGTACAGTGTTAGCTGGACCACACTGATGAAGCAAACTGTTAGTGTACCAGTGTTAGCTGGACCACACTGATAAAGCAACTGTTAGTGTACCAGTGTTAGCTGGACCACACTGATGAAGCAACTGTTAGTGTACCAGTGTTAGCAGGACCACACTGCTGAAGCAACTGTTAGTGTACCAGTGTTAGTTGGACCACACTGATGAAGCAACTGTTAGTGTACCAGTGTTAGTTGGACCACACTGATGAAGCAACTGTTAGTGTACCAGTGTTAGCTGGACCACACTGATGAAGCAACTGTTAGTGTACCAGTGTTAGTTGGACCACACTGATGAAGTAACAGCAAGTCCTACCCGGGTCCTCGTCGGCATTGTGGACTCAACTGACTGAAGGCCTACATAACTATGTAGGCCATATAGGCCTATGTATATATGCATTATTTTAAGTCGCGTTAAATTACATTAGATTAAGTTACTTAAATGTAACCCACTTATTTAAAAATTTAAACATATTTAAAGATAAATAAAGTTAAATACACTCCTAGGAGAGTAAACATTCCAGTCATCTACTGCCCTACAAGCAAAGCGTTTGTTTTCGCACGCATTAGTGTGGTAATATTACCTTTATTTCTACTAATACATGTACAAGGTATACAGACCATAGCTCTGACATCACTGACATATTACTATATAGAAAGTCTCTGGTTATGCAGAGCATTTCTGGAAAATTAGGTCAATTTTGTTCTCAGGATGTGACCCTCATCAGTCGGCTTACACCCAGGTACCTACTTACTAGTAGGTGAACATAGACAGTTAGCGTCTTAGGAAAACACGTCCTTATGTTTCCACCCCTACTGGGAATCGAACCACGGACCTCCATGTGTGAGCTGAGTGCGCTTGCAATCGAGCCACGGGACAATGTAAAAATGAAACAGAATTTAAGTATATATGCTATTCTTAATATCATTGACCTCACCTAAATAAACATATAACGAATAACGAAATTACAAAAACAGGAGCCGATATAAGCTGGGAAGATATACTAAGCAACACAGACCCAAACTTATGCCTAGAACAGATTAACTCGGTGGCACTCGATGTATGCACAAGGCTTATTCCTCTAAGAAAAAGGAGGAGTAGATGTAAAATAGAAAGAGACAGGCGCTCCCTTTACAGGCGACGGAAAAGAATAACAGAGCGGCTAAAAGAGGTCAATATATCTGAAATGCGTAGGGAGACACTGGTCAGAGAAATAGCAAGCATCGAACTTAAGCTAAAAGAATCCTTTAGGAGTCAGGAATCGCGGGAAGAACTAAAAGCCATAAATGAAATCGAAAGAAATCCAAAGTATTTCTTCTCCTATGCCAAATCAAAATCGAGAACAACGTCCAGTATTGGGCCCCTACTTAAACAAGATGGGTCCTACACAGATGACAGCAAGGAAATGAGTGAGCTACTCAAGTCCCAATATGACTCAGTTTTTAGCAAGCCGCTAACCAGACTGAGAGTCGAAGATCAAAATGAATTTTTTATGAGAGAGCCACAAAATTTGATTAACACAAGCCTATCCGATGTTATCCTGACGCCAAATGACTTCGAACAGGCGATAAATGACATGCCCATGCACTCTGCCCCAGGGCCAGACTCATGGAACTCTGTGTTCATCAAGAACTGCAAGAAGCCCCTATCACGAGCCTTTTCCATCCTATGGAGAGGGAGCATGGACACGGGGGTCGTCCCACAGTTACTAAAAACAACAGACATAGCCCCACTCCACAAAGGGGGCAGTAAAGCAACAGCAAAGAACTACAGACCAATAGCACTAACATCCCATATCATAAAAATCTTTGAAAGGGTCCTAAGAAGCAAGATCACCACCCATCTAGAAACCCATCAGTTACACAACCCAGGGCAACATGGGTTTAGAACAGGTCGCTCCTGTCTGTCTCAACTATTGGATCACTACGACAAGGTCCTAAATGCACTAGAAGACAAAAAGAATGCAGATGTAATATATACAGACTTTGCAAAAGCCTTCGACAAGTGTGACCATGGCGTAATAGCGCACAAAATGCGTGCTAAAGGAATAACAGGAAAAGTCGGTCGATGGATCTATAATTTCCTCACTAACAGAACACAGAGAGTAGTCGTCAACAGAGTAAAGTCCGAGGCAGCTACGGTGAAAAGCTCTGTTCTACAAGGCGCAGTACTCGCTCCCATCTTGTTCCTCATCTTCATATCCGACATAGACAAGGATGTCAGCCACAGCACCGTGTCTTCCTTTGCAGATGACACCCGAATCTGCATGACAGTGTCTTCCATTGCAGACACTGCAAGGCTCCAGGCGGACATCAACCAAATCTTTCAGTGGGCTGCAGAAAACAATATGAAGTTCAACGATGAGAAATTTCAATTACTCAGATATGGTAAACATGAGGAAATTAAATCTTCATCAGAGTACAAAACAAATTCTGGCCACAAAATAGAGCGAAACACCAACGTCAAAGACCTGGGAGTGATCATGTCGGAGGATCTCACCTTCAAGGACCATAACATTGTATCAATCGCATCTGCTAGAAAAATGACAGGATGGATAATGAGAACCTTCAAAACTAGGGAGGCCAAGCCCATGATGACACTCTTCAGGTCACTTATTCTATCTAGGCTGGAATATTGCTGCACACTAACAGCACCTTTCAAGGCAGGTGAAATTGCCGACCTAGAAAATGTACAGAAAACTTTCACGGCGCGCATAACGGAGATAAAACACTTCAATTACTGGGAGCGCTTGAGGTTCCTAAACCTGTATTCCCTGGAACGCAGGAGGGAGAGATACATGATTATATACACCTGGAAAATCCTAGAGGGACTAGTACCGAACTTGCACACGAAAATCACTCACTACGAAAGCAAAAGACTTGGCAGACGATGCACCATCCCCCCCAATGAAAAGCAGGGGTGTCACTAGCACGTTAAGAGACCATACAATAAGTGTCAGGGGCCCGAGACTGATCAACTGCCTCCCAGCACACATAAGGGGGATAAACAACAGACCCCTGGCAGTCTTCAAGCTGGCACTGGACAAGCACCTAAAGTCAGTTCCTGATCAGCCGGGCTGTGGCTCGTACGTTGGTTTGCGTGCAGCCAGCAGCAACAGCCTGGTTGATCAGGCTCTGATCCACCAGGAGGCCTGGTCACAGACCGGGCCGCGGGGGCGTTGACCCCCGGAACTCTCTCCAGGTAAACTCCAGGTAAACGGGAAACATCACCGATTAAATCAGTTTATTGTTAAAGATGGAGGACATACTGGGTCCTTACAGCTGGTATAACGAACACGTAATTATCAACGAGTTACGTAACGAAGAGGGAAAGCTTTTATACGGGAATGAGTGTTGATGTTGAGACGGAATTGGTAGGAAGGTGAGTGTGGCAGCCACAGTCAGTGGTGGAGTCTCGTCTAGAGTACACGAGGTGGCTCCTGCTCTCCTCTCACACTGTTTCAAACTCTTATTCACAGCACAAACTTTCTCCAGTTGTTAACCCTGTTGCAAAATATTCACCGTGAGGATATATATATGATTCTATATACATTATTTCGGTGGGTGTTATATAAGTGTCATTTTTCAGTGCTCCCTCCAATAATTGAAATATCGAATAGTTATTAATAACCAAAATTAAAATATAAGTCGCTTGAATTATGTTACAGATAACGAAAAAATTCCATTTTAAAATGTGTCAGATACTCTTAAAACTGCAAAAAGAACAAGAAAGTGATGTTAATATATAATTTAATGACAATTAAGTGTTTAAAGAAATGCAAAAAGGTAAATGGAACTAATGAAGAGATCCTAGCATATTTAATATCCAGAATCGTCATATATATACAACTGGTTACTCAATACAGATAGTAATTAACTCTGCGTCAGACTTACAAGCCTACAAATTGATGCATAGTCTATAATTATTTACAAAGTTCTTGAGATTTCTTGGCTATTAATAAGGAAATGGAAATTAACTCAAAGCAGCCAATGCGTCTTCAAGAGCTTCAGTTAGTGCTTGTGTATCAACTAGCAACAGCACGATACGAAAGTTGACTATTAGACATTATAAAAGACTATCAGTGTAATTGAAGGACAGAAGTCATCTACAAGAACCTATCAAGACGCTATACATCTACAATTTACACTGAAAAAGCTACAGTCTACCCAACAAGCCTACACGTTACACTGAACCAGCTACAACCTACCCAGCAAGCCTACACGTTACACTGAACCAGCTACAACCTACCCAACAAGCCTACACGTTACACTGAACCAGCTACAACCTACCCAACAAGCCTACACGTTATACTGAACCAGCTACAAACTACCCAACAAGCCTACACGTTATACTGAACCAGCTTACAAACTACCCAAACAAGCCTACACGTTATACTGAACCAGCTACAAACTACCCAACAAGCCTACACGTTATACTGAACCAGCTACAACCTACCCAACAAGCCTACACGTTATACTGAACCAGCTACAAACTACCCAACAAGCCTACACGTTACACTGAACCAGCTACAACCTACCCAACAAGCCTACACGTTGCACTGAACCAGCTACAACCTACCCAACAAGCCTACACGTTACACTGAACCAGCTACAACCTACCCAACAAGCCTACACGTTGCACTGAACCAGCTACAACCTACCCAACAAGCCTACACGTTGCACTGAACCAGCTACAACCTACCCAACAAGCCTACACGTTACACTGAACCAGCTACAACCTACCCAACAAGCCTACACGTTGCACTGAACCAGCTACAACCTACCCAACAAGCCTACACGTTACACTGAACCAGCTACAACCTACCCAACAAGCCTACACGTTACACTGAACCAGCTACAACCTGCCCAACAAGCCTACACGTTACACTGAACCGCTACAGTTTGCCTAACACGTTACACACTGACAAATTACACTACCACATAGTCTGCTCAACAAGCCCACACGTTACACATTAACAAGTTACACAACTGCCTACAGCCTGCCCAGCAAACGTACAAGTTACGCTGAACCAGCTACAGGTTGGCCAACAAGCTTACAAGTTAAACTGAGCCAGCTACAGCCTGCCCATCAAGCCTATACGTTAAACATCAAGTTGCACTGAACCATCTAGAGCCGGTCCAACAAGCCTACAAGTTACACATCTACAGCCTATCCAACAAGCTTACAAGCGTCTTCCAAACAGCCGCCCACTGCATCCTCTCACACCTTGTCATGGTAAGATATTGTTCCATTTAAATTCCATATATTCTGTTCCTTGATGGTGGTGAAGGGCTCATCATCCTCGGATCAAATATGATTACCTCCAGTTCTCCAGGTGCTGTATGACCCTTATGGGTTTAGGGCTTTTTCGTGAATATAATGATGTAATATGCGCTTCTATATGAATCAACTATATTCTATATCTTATTTAGTTCATTTTCCTTTTCCAAATTTTGAAAAAAGGATAAAAACACAGCTATTAACAAAATAAAGCAATATATATGCAATAAGATCATAGTTAACAGGTGATATCACAATATGCAAAACAGCCACTGTGAAAAAATAGCGAAATTCCAAGCGCTTTCGTGACTTCTCACATCATCAAGGAACTATAACATAGTTCTTTGATAATGTGAGAAGTCACGAAAGCGCTTGGAATTTCACTATTTTTTTCACAGTGGTTGTTCTGCAACAATATATATGTATATATGTTACTCCTAAGCAAGGATACAAGAGTTGTATTATTCCTGGAAAGATGGACAAAATTATGTAGTAATTAATAGTGACACTAATTATAGGAGCATTAGTAACAGTAATAGTAGTTTACCTGCGGGGAGTTTCGGGGGTCAACGCCCCCGCGGCCCGGTCCATGACCATACCTCGCGGTGGATCAGGGGCCAGATTAACCAGGCAATGTTACTGCTGGCCGCAGTAATATAAATAGCAGTATGATACTCGATTATAGAGAACATATTCAGAATCACTTGATAAAAATGCAGTAGTGTATGAGCATATAAAATTCACTATTTTAGATTTTGGTTTAATTATACTTGTCTGCTCCTCCTCCTTGATTCGCCGGTACTCTCCCGGCAGTCTTGTGAGCTGCAGGTGGTAGCAAGCTCTAGCTCTGGTACCTTCCCCGCCCAAGAAGTGGTCGTGTCTATTTATTATTTATTATTAAAATTTGCCGGTAATCTCCCGGCCCGGACCTTTTCCAAGTGGTGGCCCGGCCTTGCCTCCCTGTCTTGGGAGTGTCTGAGACCTGAGTCTCCCATGGGAGGAGACACAAGTACCCCCTCATCTTTGGGACCAACTGTCCCCAGGCCTAGCCACAAGCTAGGCCTCTCTGGCCTGCCATCCCCGCCCCAAGGGGGCTAATGGGAATGACTGTCTAGTGAGCTGCAAGCTCCGGATCAGGCACCTACCCTACCCTAGAAGGGCTGGACATGGTGTCGATCCGGTCGTGTCTGCACTCACAAAATAAAGAGGAAACAACTAAGAAGCACAATTTGTAACGTTCTCCAAGTATGACATAATATTTAGTTTTATTTTCCACCCGGATGAAAACCCTTTCTAAAAATATATATTTTAAAATTGCTTTCATATTTTAAGACCTCGACTAGTCAACTTTAATAAATTTGACATTTTTTTATAAAAAGCTAAGAATAGTTTATCATTTCATTCTCTGGGCGTTGCCGGCGTTCTTAAGATTTTTGTATCTGCAAATCACAAAAATTACGACGGGAAAGTATAGTTTTTAGTTTCTGTCCTTGGAGAAGCATGAGAAGTGTATCTGAGTTGGTTGGTCACTGTGAAAGTTGCTACTACGAAAATTTAGGTTAAGTTGAACTATGATTGTGGGAGTGAAATAAAATGTTTTCCAAGATACTATTATTTTATAGCATTACTTTGATTACTTAGTTGTTGACAAGTTCTGAGTAAGATTTTTTTTGTACTAATAATCTGTAAATGCTGACTGGAAACGATATTGAACAAAACAAGCGAAAGCAACGTGATAAGGACCAAGAAAAAGGAGCGAGACGAGTGTGTCAACCCAAGTGATATCAAGTTGGAGGAGCTTACTAACCCTAGGAAACACGAAATAAACCACAAACTGACCAAAGCCATCAACTGAACGTAACAATCACACCTCAACACTACCTCCCTCAGCAGCCAAGCCTGACACTTACAACACGGAGCTACTTACACCACTAGGTTACAATCAACCTTAATAATGACATAGCTACTATATGATCCCTACGGTTCAGCGCTTTCATATGACTATTAATATTAGTAATGAAGTATTTCAGTACCAGCGCCATCTGAAAAAGGTATTCCTGTATTGCATAACCCCAGTCTTCCCTGTGCCTCAATGCTCGTAGCAGGAATAATGCAATGTATGACATAACTGTAATGCAGCTGAATATTAGCATTGAAAAGTTGAAGAGAATCACGAGTGACATCCGCAAGTCATCATGTGGAAACTAATATCTTGATTTCAAAGGGACAAATATCCTAAAATACACACGCACATTAAGCTTGAAGCCACTTAATAGTTGCATTATCAAGTTATGGGATATCATCCTTTTTGCAGAATGCATCATTGCAATTTTGAAGCCGATGAGAAGCAGCATTCTTTATAAATAAACGTCACTATTTATTCGGACTTACGGCACCCAATAACAGGGTGAACCTGGCGTTCAAGGAAATCACAAGTGGTGAAAATTTGAAGCCAGTCAGAAGAGGAATTATCCAGCTTTGGCACGGATTCCAACGATTCCAAGTTTTTTGTGTGTATATTTTATACTATACTGGCAAATTTGCCTGTACACAAGCAAAGCTAAATGGGCATTATCCTGGCCCTAAGATGCATCAGCTATTAAATATTGAAGCTGTTCAGAAGAGATAAACTGACTTCTTGTTTTACCTGATTTAACGGGAATAAGAATGCCATACTATTGTACGCAAAATGGTCACATTTGCACCTACACACTTGAATTTCACTCTCCGTTGTCAAATTAGGAGACATCTTTTAACCGTTTGCAACTACGTAACTACGTAACTGAAGTTTTTCCATCCATTCCAGGATGCTGGGAATAGGCTCAACAACTTTGGTCATGGGGCACCTGCACATGTCAGTCTTTCCAAGAATCTAGCCCTAGTTACCGTAGACAAGCGTTGAAAATTAGAATCCGGTCGCGTGAGGCCTTCTCAAGTTATGAGCGAAAGGAACCCGAAACGCAAGAAGTGGAACATCTTACCACGAAGACTCTCGTCAGGAGAAATTTTCTCATTTCTCCTGATATAAAATGCAACGACTACTATTACTATTACCACCGCCACCACTGCTACGATCATAACCACTAATACTACTACCACTACCGCCCCCACAACCATTATCACATTATTGATAATGAAATGCGCATATTATGCATGCAATGTAGCAACCTATTTCAACTCGTACTATGCAACAGTTGCCCCATCGTCATTAATAAATTACCACTTGCATCAAACGAATGCAACAGAGTCGTAAAGGCTTTTAACATAAAACTCTACAGTAATTAAGTAATTATCTGAAGCCGGATTTAATAGTCCTGCTAGTAGTCTGAATTATTTGTAAATTTACCCAAGGAACAGGAACTAAATGATTTTAGCCAATAATAGTGAAACAAAATCTATACTAATTTTACAGTATTAACAAAGACCCGCTAAACCCGCGTGGGTCACACACCGCTGCATCAGTTTATGCTGATATGTGGCGTGCCACATATTATTCTTGTGCTGGATAAATGATATGCCCCGTAGTCTAGATAGATAATTCATAACGTCCCTTCTTGAAGTTGGTGAACGACTCGTCAGCCATGGAATTGAAGATAACTTTCCCTTCCTTAGATTAAACTTTGACCCCACTCCCATTCTTCACGCGCTGTACGTCGCATACAGGTTTAGCGCTTCCTTTCCCAGTGATATATGTATCTCTCTCTCTCTCTCTCTCTCTCTATATATATATATATATATATATATATATATATATATATATATATTATATATATATATATATATATATATATATATATATTTCCACGATGGGTGTGGAAGTGGCGGCTAGCGCTATTTGTCTCTGGAATTAGTGACAGCCTACCCTAGCTTAACGTAATCTAATTAGCAAACAGCCAGTGTTGATACATTATGTTGTAACCGCCGCCTTGATGGAACCAGGCTATGATATAAGGCAGTAACACTTGAGTGTCACTGTTGCACTTATCCTGGCCCCTCACACCTGCCCAACACTCACTATATACTCGCCTTTGTGAATAATTTCTAGCTAGTTTGTCTGCTTGTATGTGTACATAAGTGGTCCACTCCACTGTATTAATTCGTGTAATTCTGAGTGCGTGGTTGTGCGAGAAAGCATTAGTGAGAAAATATATGGGTGCATGCGTGAGTGAGTGGAATTTGGTGAAAGTTAATCTATTTGGTGGAACAGTATGGACAACCTGTGTGTGTCCTCACCTAGTTGTGGTTGCGGGGGGTCGATTCACAGTTCCTGGCCCCGCCTCTTAAACTGGCCGCTACCAGGTCACTCTTCCCGCTCCGCGAGCTTTATCATGTTTCTTGTGTGTGTACTCACCTATTTGTACTCACCTATTTGTGGTTGCAGGGGTCGAGTCCTAGCTCCTGGCCCCGCCTCTTCACCGGTTGCTACTAGACCCTCCCTCTCCCCGCTCCATGAGCTTTATCAAACCTCGTCTTAAAACTGTGTATGGTTCCTGCCTCCACTACGTCATTTTCTAGGCTATTCCACTGCCTTACAACTCTATGACTGAAGAAATACTTCCTACTATCTCTCTGACTCATTTGTGTCTTCAACTTCCAATTGTGGCCTCTTGTTTCTGTGTCCCCTCCCTGGAACATCCTGTCCTTGTCCACCTTGTCTATTCCACGCAGTATTTTATATGTCGATATCATGTCTCCCTGACCCTCCTGTCCTCCAGTGTCGTCAGGCCGATTTCCCTTAATCTTTCTTCATAGGACATTCCCCTTAGCTCTGGAACTAACCTTGTTGCAAACCTTTGTACTTTCTCTAGTTTCTTGACGTGCTTTATCAAGTGCGGGTTCCAAACAGGTGCTGCATACTCCAGTATGGGCCTGACATACACGGTGTACAGTGTCTTGAATGATTCCTTACTAAGGTGTCGGAATGCTGTTCTCAGGTTTGCCAGGCGCCCATATGC